CACTCCGCCAGAAATTTGGAAACGACATGTTGTATTGCTTGGCATTCAGTTCTGAAGCTCCAATACGAACATTTCAGAGTGTTTGGGTTTCAGTCTGACAGTGCAGAGGATTTGGAAAGAGTTGGATGAGTCTAATGTTGATTACGAAGGTACGGCAGCTCAGAAAACCCACTCTCATCGTTCTGATAAGAAAGGAACTCAGGAATTTGTTGGTGAGGGCTTCAAACTCAATTCGGAGTCCTACATCAAGTGTCTTGAGGAGATAGTGTTGACATGGGTCAAGAATCTGGCTGCTGGCAGAATCTATGTCTAACAACAGGACTCTGCACTAGGCCACACAAGCAGGAGAACCCAGTCATGGCAGCCAGACAAATTTCTGCAACCTCATCGTCCCTTACATCTGACCATCTAACCCCTCAGACAGAAACTGCCTTGTGTGAGGCGCAGTTGAGCGAGAGACCAACAAAAGTCTTTGTAACACTAAAGATGCAGGCAAGGATTATGGCAGCATTCACCAAGTTAAATATGGAGACCGTCCAGGAGAGTTAAAGGAGATTCCGAAGTCGTCTGGAGGCTATGGTTAAAGCCAATGGCGATTTTATTGCATAAATTTACACTCTAGTATTTCAAGATATTTTTGTGCAATTTTGGTAAATATATATATATATATATATATATATATATATATATATATATATAAGATGTCAATGTTATTTTCATTATTGCGACATTTAGACGACAATTTATCTATCGCACTCTGTATATGTGTTAAAATGAGATGGCAGTGTTATTTTCATTTTTACGTCATTTAGGCGACAATTTATCCATCGCATCATGTAAGATGTTTTCATGCATAACCAATTTTTTTGGAATTTATTTCTTTGAATTATTCAATTCTTTCCGTCCGTCAGATTAAGGTGTTACTATATAGGATATAGTAATACCTATAGTGGGCCTTTGTGATGGAAGAATACCAATGTATACTTTGTTTTTACAAGCACATGTTTTACTAGCTTAGTCATTTACTAAGCTAAGATTAGCCTGTAGCCTTAGTAGTGACTACTGAACTCACCGATCGATTAAGTTACATCCTTTAACATCCAGAGTTGTACTTGCATGTTATTGATATTTACTAAAGTTGAATTAGTATTGCAAAAAAAAAAACAACAAAAGATTGTGTTGCTCCCATTTTCGCGAGACTGGAAGAGTAAGTCTACCTACTTTGAAAATCATCAGTCGAAACTGTCTTCTGAGCTTTTCTAAGATTAATTTTGTAACACACAATGCCTGAAGAAGGTAAGAATGTATTGCGCCAACCTTCAATTTTCGCCTCATAGGAATATATTTTCCTATCTTGAAAATCAGGATTCGAAATTCCGATTTTTTAAACATACTAAGATCTACCCCACCATGCTAAATGAAGGGAAGATTCTATTGCGCCATTCTTCAAGTGGGATTACCCTACTTGACTGCATTGAAAATGATCAGTCAAAATACTGGCTTCTGATATTTACTAAATTTAACCAAGTAAGATAAAATGCCAAAAGGCAATAAGAAGATTGTGTTGCACCAGTCTTCTAAGTGGGAGCAATTAGCCTATAGCGATCATCATCACACACACGCACACACACATACATGCCTATACAAATTCAAATTTCAATAACAATCAATTATTAGATAGAAATCAACGCTACTATCTTATGCGACAATTTTGAAATCGCTATATTTTCGTATAGTAGATTTTGTGCACTTTTGGGAGAATCGGCTACCAGAAATCTCCCCAAAGCTCATTCATTGATTGGTCAGTGCCGACCAATCGGATTGTCTGCACATGAAGAATAATTCTTCCCGCGCGGCATTCCTGGTCCAGTGATCACCTATAAAAGCAAGAAAAAAGAGTAGACACACCAGTGAGACTTCAGCTGCCACAGAATTTCACGACAGTTGAAGCTATGCGCCGATCTTCTCACTCAACTCTCACAAACTGCATATTCCTTTACACTTACATAATTATTCATCTTGCACAGCAAAACTGTTAAAAAAACATTAATTATAAACTATTAACTCTTTCTTTTCAGAGAACTTTGATAGTCAAAGAGAGACAACTCTCGTCTTACTCATTGCATGCTTTTTCTTACACATTCTTTTTTGTATACATTGTTGAATACAATTTTTTTATATAATGATATCTTTGCCTTGTCCTTTCTTCACATCAGTTTGGTTTCCTGATCAAAATTAAATAAACGTGGTGGAATCAGCATATGACATCTTGGCTTTTTACCTGGATTCAAACGTTGACCACTGGATTCACCTGAGAATTAGAAAACTGTCCAGCAACCGGTATAGGCAAATAGATAGTTATTAATGTCTGGTACAAGGTCAAGATCCCACTATATTAGTGAATTGTCTATTGAGATTGACTTTCTAATGCCAGGAGCTCATACCTAAAAGCGTAACAAACAAAAAGATACTTGATCGTATTGGAAATTCTGCTCGCATTCCTTTTCCTTAAACAATCTTACCAGGATTTGCAATTTAAACCAAGCAGAAAACAATGAGTGTTTATTGTCGCAAGCTAACAGCTACGGACGACACCGCATTCATAAACAATGTCTTATTTGTGACGAAAATGAATACGCTGCCGTCATCGTGTCTTGAATTGACAGAGCAAGGAAGGATCAATTGTTCATTTGTTTCGCGTCTGAAGTATGCAAATCCCCAGACGCTTACTCCCCCACCACCACTTGTGGCAAATATACAGTACTTTTGCTTCTTAGGTACACAACACGTTCGAAGTCACCGTACTGCTATTTGCGAAGCTTGGCTGTGTATAGTACAAGGCCATGAATAATGAATTATAAATAATTAATAATGGCTTGGAATGAAAGAAGGGAGAGTTCGAATTCCAGTCGGATTCGTTACAAGCAATTACGCGGAAATAACCTTGTGAAAGGTATGAACCCATCCCTACTCCCCATAGCTATGGGTTGAATAGCAGGACAGATTGAGTCATATAACCTCAGTTGGCAGTCAGTCTATCACAGAATGAAATGGCAACATATTACGAGAAAAAAACTTATACCTAGTCTGTCATGAATCTAAAAAGACATGATCGCCCAATCATGTATCACGTATGGAACTTAACTGACCATCCGTTGTTATCATGGTTGAATAGAAGGATAGACTGGGTCCGATATACTTGGTTGGCAACCAGTCTACCGCAGAAAGAAATGGCAACCTACTGCGGGAATATCTTCTGCCTGCTCAGTCATGAAGCGAAAGAAACAGGATCGCCCAATCGTGTTCCGCGGACGGCACTTAACTGACCGTCCGTTGTTATCATGGCTGAATAGCAGAATAGACTGGCTCCTATATCCTTGTTTGGTAACCACTCTACCGAAGAAAGAAATGAAAACCTACTGCGGGAATATCTTCTGCCTGCTCAGTCATGAATCGAAAGAGACACTATCGTCCAATCGTGTATCACGGACGGCTTTTAACTGACCGTCCGTTGTTATCATGGCTGAATAGCAGGATAGATTAAGTCCGATATCCTTGTTTGGAATCCTGTCTACCGCAGAAAGAAACGACAGCCTACTGCGGGAATATCTTCTGCCTGCTCAGTCATGAATCGAAAAAGACATGATCGCCCAATCGTGTATCACGTATGGCACTTAACTCACCGTCTGTTATCATGCCTGAATCGCAAGATAGACCGCGTATCCTTGCTTTGCAACCAGTCTACCGCAGAAAGAAATGTCAGCCTACTGCGGGAATATCTTCTGCCTGCTCAGTCATGAAGCGAAAGAGACATGGTCACCCAATCGTGTATCGTGGATGGCTCTTAACTGACCGTCCGTTGTTATTATGGCTGAATAGCAGGAAAGACTGGGTCCTATATCCTTGGTTGGCAACCAGTCTACCGCAGAAAGAAATGGTAACCTACTGCGGGAATATCTTCTGCCTCGTCAGTCATGAATCGAAAGAGACATGATCGGCCAAGCGTGTATCGCGTATGGCATTTAACTGACTGAAAAGACCATAATCACAGAGCACACTGTAGAGATCGTTTGGGTCTCCTTGATGGTGTTCCGAAACATTGGGTCATTACGATGCAACCAAATTATGTACTAAGCTTAGTATATTATGATACAATGCTAGTACTATAGAGAACATATTAAGACCGAATTTAATATAATTGTCTAAGAGATTAGCTTTCTAACGAATGAGATAAGTTTTCATATATATATATATATATATATATATATATATATATAATATAATAATATTTTTTGTTTAAAAATATGATTCCTTCGCTACATAAGAGTTCTCATGTTTCAAAAACGAGAGCCGAAATATCCAAATAATTATTAAAATTAAGTTGGATTGTGGTGTTTAGTCCCGTTTCATCTTCAAGCGACTAAACACCACAATCCAACTTAATTTTAATAATTATTTGGATATTTCGGCTCTCGTTTTTTTTAAACATGAGAACTCTTATGTAGCGAAGGAATCATATTTTTAAACAGAAAATATTATTATAATATAAGCTCTACTTCTGTATGGAGCACTGTCTTCTTAAAAATAAAAACAAAAAATACTAAGGAACCCCGGATTATGCACCCAACGTGTTTTTTCTATTTTCTGCATACCTACGCACTTATATATATATATATATATATATATATATATATATATATATATATATATATATATATATATATATATATATATTCCACTTACTGAATGCAAGCGTTAGGGAGATTGTGTTGCGTAAATTTTCCAACTGGGCACGACCTGCTCAACTCGTAATCATTATTCAAGATCCTGATTTTGATTAGAATTCTAGCTAGCGCAAAACATGAAAATAGAAAAGAAATCTTAGGAAGTATTATTTATTGTATAGATCAAACATTTCCTCCTACGAGTTTCTTAATATCGTGTTAACATCCCAAACATCTGAAAATCTTTGTAAATATTAAAAATTAAATAGACGTACCGCCATATCACGTTAAAACACCGGTTTCCATACGATCATAGAAGTTAAGCAATATCGAGCCTTGTCAGTACCTAGATGGGTGACCGCTTGAGAATGTAAGCTTTGCGGTGCCTGGGGAGTGTAATGTATAATATCTCGGAATCATTAATCACAGAGCCGAGTTCCAATTTCAGGCGCAAATACCCTTGATAAAGATATGAATCCACCTCTTTTCTCCCTAGCTATGGATTAATTAGTAAGACGCGTATCACTAAAATCAAATTTATCTAAAAAAAATATTTTTCTACAAAAGGTTGATAAGCCGTAAAATATCAATCAAAAAATATTTCATAAATGAAATTTAATAAAACAGCACTAAACTGCTATACAGCCTTTCCTCACGTAATGAACAGGTTTTGATCTAATGACCTGGTCGCTAAGCGAGCTGGTCGCTAAGCGAGCTGGTCGTTAAGTGAGAAGTTGTCTGACTGTTATTTCAGGCATACTATGCGTGTAAAATGTTTGAACCTGTAATAAATGGTTCGTTAGATAATTATGTAATTTTAAGTTTCTATGTCCTGTACTGTAAACTAGAATATTAGCACTTCTCATTTAACGACCCGATTACTGCTGAACAGTATAGATAATCAACAAATTCGAAAATCAACTCTAAATTCTGAATATTACATCGATTTGCTGAATGTAAATACAGCACGAAAAAATAATATACAAGTAAATAAAAGTAAATTTTATTGATTTTTCAGTTTTTTTTTTTTTTATTCGTTTTTATTTATTTTGATACATTTTGAAGAAAGATAAAATAACCTTTCCTCAGTACAGCCAATTTACACTTAACGACTTGGTTACGTTCCAACTGGTCGCTAAGTGAGAAGTTGTACCTAACTTCTATTTCAGGCATACTATGCGTGTAATAGGTTTGTGCCTGTAATAAATACTGCCTCACCGACTCGTGTTTTCCAGTCTGTTGGATGTCCTCATCTGTTGCCTGTCTTCTGGTGACACTTCTGACCCATCTACCTACCGTCCTATCAGTCTCCTACCGCTCTTTGGTACAGTCTTCGAGGCTTTAATCAACGCCGAAGTGGTTAAGCAACTTACTTCACATAATCCGCTCTCCGAGAAGCAATATGGTTTCCGCTTTGGCCGATCTACCGCTGACGTGCTCACGGCCCGAACTGAATTTGTATACCAAGCACTCAACAATAATGGAGAAGCTCGAGCTGTGGCTCTAGACATCTCTAAAGCGTTTGATGGGGTTTGGCATGCTAGCCTTCTTCGTTAGCTTCAGGGATCCGACATTACAGGACGATTATTTGACTTAATCCAATCATTCCTGTCAAACCATGAAATGAAGGTCGTCTGAAACGGGTTTTCCTCTAGCTCCTTTATCACGAACGCTGGGGTCCCCCAAGGCTCTGTCTTGGGCCCTACACTGTTCCTGATCGTCATCAATGATCTTCCCGATGTCATCAGTTACCAAGTTGGCATCTACGCGGACGACACCATATATTTATTCCTGCCTCAATAGTAAATCTGGTATCGTTGACAAAACTAATCTGGTTGCTGATCTCAAAAAGGACCTCCAATCTGTGGTTGACTGGGGCAGGAAATGGTTTGTCAACTTTAATACCTCCAAAACGAAACTGCTCTCCTTTACCCACCACATAGAACCCTCCCATCAAAATGACTGATTCTCAACTCCTTGAGAGTGTCTCGTTACACCTGCTTGGTCTCACGCTGTCCACTGACATGGGGTAGAATAAATACATTGAATCAATAGCTTCATCTACTGCAAGGAAAGTTGGTTCTCTGTGTCAGGCCAGAAATTTTTTCTCGTCTGAGTCCATCCTTCAAATCTATAAATCAACCACCTGTCCTTGCATGGAATATTGCTGTCATATATGGTCTGGTTCCTCTGCTGTATGTCTCGAGGTCCTTGACAAATTCCAGAGACGAATATGCAAGATTATAGTTCCTTATCTGGTATCTAGTCTACAATCTCTATCCCACAGTCGTGCCGTGGCCTCCTTCTGTCTTTTCTACAAATATTTTCACGGCAAATGTTTCGACGAGCTAGTTTCGCTGGTTCCCGGACTACATGAATTTAAACGAGCTACTAGGCTGACATATCGTTCCCACCCTTTCACTATCAAAACAATTAAATGTAACCATCTCTTGTACTCAAACAGCTTCGCCTGCACTACCCACCTGTGGAACTCCATTCCCCTTACTTGCTTCCCGATGACTATAATCTTCAATTTTTCAAGTGTAATGTCAATCGACATCTGACACTCTGAGCTTGTTCCCCGTCTTTCTCTGTGTCCTTTCCTCAAACACGCCCCTTTACTCTTGTTCTCAATCCTCTGTAACCCCTTACGTGCTAGTAGCACTCCCGACTTGCTTGGGGTGAATTGGCTTAAAAAAAAGATAATTGTGTAATTTTCTATGTCCTATACTGTAAACTAGAATAATACCAATTCCACCACTTCTCATTTAACGACCTGATTACGTCCTACTGACCTAGTCGCTAAACGAGTTCATCGCTAAGTGAGATTTTGTATCTCGCCGCTATTTCAGGCATAGTACGCATCTAATGGGTTTGTCCCAACCATTTTCAGATAGATTTTATGTTACTTTTGCAACATTTGTAACATTCCTAATTTATGTTTATACAGTACAGTAGTCTGCTGAAAAGTAAAGATAATCAGCAAATTCGAAAATCAGCTCTAAATTCTGAATATTAATTCGATTTGCTGCCTGTAAATTTAGCTCAAATAAATTTTATTTTTCATTTCACTCATGGCACGCATATAATGGATTTGTCACACCATAGATAGATTTAATGTTACTTTGGCAACATTTGTAACATTCCTAATTTATGTTTATACAGTATAGTAGTCTGCTGAAAAGTAAAGATAATCAGCAAATTTGAAAATCAGCTCTATATTCTGAACATTAATTCGATTTGCTGACTGTAAATACAGCACAAGTCTTTTTTTTTATTTTTCATTTATTCACTTTATTTATTTTTATTAATTTTGAAGATTTTATTTTCAAATAATATACAGCAACAACTAGTTGGATTTAAAAAATGAGATTTTTATAACTTATCGTTAAACATGTAAGTCGTTAAATGAATAATAACTGTGATATTATTCTACGTGTCTGTATGCATCACAATTGCGCTTCTCTTTTACATAGCAAAAAAGTTGTTTTATTATTATTATTTATCTCTTTCTAACACGCGATCTGTTGATAGATAAGCAAGAGACATCTCCAGTGAATTACTGTTCGCCTCTTTGGACATTAGAAGTAATTAACTTAAAAATACAACGAAAACTTGAAATTGAGTTTTTGTTGTTTAAAAAAGTTTAGCACATTAATCATTTTAAAATTGTCTTAAAAATATAGATCTCAGTGACTCAACCAAGTATTGCACAAGGTTACAAATTTGGAGCTCCCATTAAGACTGAACTTACTGTCGTAGTCTAAAAGATTAGCATGCAAACAGGAGCTCCAATACGAAAACTCTTTAGATTTATATTATTCTATTTCTTTTATTTGACGTTGAAAATTTATTCACTAATGTCCCAGTTAGCGAAACTATTGATATGATTATAATAAACATATACATTAATAATCTCTACCTTCACTTAAAATTAAACCTAATATATTTCGGAAACCACTTTTAACTTGTACTACCGAAGTTCTATTCTACGATGGCAAAAATAATACACCGTTGTGCAAATGAATTGAAACAAAACGAATAATACCGATATTATTTACTTTTTTCGTATTTTTCCAGTGAAACATGACCCAGTGCACATGTTAGTACTTCGTATGTCCATTCCCGGAAGTTGTTCTTTGCAGATTGACCACAGATTCTCGACTGGATTTAAATCAGGAGAGTTTCCGGGCCGGTCTATAGTACTTTGATTTGCTCACTGGTAAGGCTTGCTAGTTTGTTCGTACAGCGTTACAATTTTCGTACGCTTCCTTAGAGTAACGTTCATCGCATACAATGGCCGTAGGACAACTAATCGACAGTCGAGACAATAGTGTCTTGGCGTGAGAAAAATCCGATGCAATCACGGATGACGCAATATTTTTCAAAGCCAAACAAATATCATACACCCCGAAAATAGATTCATATTACTGCACACGACGGCAAATGACCTAATCCGAATAAAAAAATAGAAATCGATTTCACCCTGTCTCTTCAGTGGGTCTAAAACCGACAGTATGGTGAAAGAAAGTAAAGTGATTGTTTCAATTAATTTGCAGTAGGATGTATATATGTACAACAGGATGGTGTTTCCATGAGTTCAGTTCTGGGCCCAACGTTTGGCAATTTGATGACAATAGTCCGAATAATGTAAATAGTGTACATAATACCTCATCTCGGAAATATAGACAGAGACTGAAAGGCCGAAACGTTCTAATAAATATGGCGACAAAGATGAGGACAATAGTCCGAATAATATAAATAATGTACTAACATAAATTCATGCAATCTTGACTATAAGAGTAAATTTCCAAAGGGTTATGGAATTACAGGTCGATTGTTTGACTTAATACAATCATTCCTGTTGAACCGTACATTGAAGGTCGTTCTCAACGGATTCTCCTACAGCTCCTATCCGACGAACGCTGGTGTTCCCCAAGACTCTATCCTAGGCCCTACTCTGTTCCTTATCTTCATTAACGATCTTCCTAATGCCATAGGTTCCCAAGTAGGCATCTATGCGGACGACACTACGATTTACTCCTGCCTCAAAAGCAAATCTAGTGTCGCCGACAAAACTAACCTGGCTGTTTGTCTTGAAAAGGACCTCCAATCGGTTGTGGACTGGGGCAGGTATTGGCTGGTTAACTTTAATGCCTCAAAAACAAAACTGCTCTCTATTACTGACCAGAGAGAACCATCCCTGCCTCCCATTAGAATGTCTGACGCTCAACTCCTCGAGAGCACCTCTTTGCGACTGCTCGGCCTCACATTGTCCGCTGACCTGAGATGGAACGAATACATTGAGTCAATATTTTCGTCCACCGCTAGAAAAATTGGCTCCTGTGCCGCGCCAGGAAAATTTTCTCGCAGGAGTC